GCGACACTGAGAAAGCCATTGGGAGGGTCTGAGTGAGAGAAGCAAAGGGAAGGAGGAGAGGCACAAACTTGCACCAGCCAGTCTTTGGGTTGGGGTTGGGTTTTGTTTTGTTACCATTTCAGTGTGTGAAAAGCTTCTGGTGACCCAGGGTTGACAGTTATAAATATTGCTAGCACAAAGCAGAAGTAAAGAGAGGAGATGAACCCAAGTGGTGACAGCAAATTCTCTCAGTTGTTGGCCAATTTTTTTTGCATGCTGTGACTTGGCCTCTCCTTCTGGCTCCATCTACGTGACTCTTGTTGAGACTTTTTCTGTTTTAAACTGTATGCAAAGAATGGGGTCTTTTTACTCGTGCAGCCATGTACCCATGTTCAGATGGACCCAGGGAGACATGAGGGACCTTATTACTCCTCTTGTAGCCGAGTGAGGGTCCGTCTCTTCTCCCAGTCATCACGTGACAGGACAGGAGGAAACAGCCTCAAGTTGCACCAGGGGAGGTTTAGGTTGGACATTAGGAAAAGTTTCTTCCTCTGGTGGGTTGCCCAGGGCTGTGCCAGGCTGCCCAGGGCAGTGGTGGAGTCCCCACCCCTGGAGGGGCTGCCCATGCCCAGCTGGGTGCTGAGGGACATGGGTCAGTGGTGACCTGGCAGTGCTTGGTTAGTGGTTAGACTGGATGATCTTAAAGGTGTTTTCCAACCTAAACAATTCTATGATTACAGTGCTGAGCTTTCTCTGTAGTCTCCTTGATCTGTAGAAGGGAAGATGGTGGTCAGGTCAGGGCTGCATGAAGAAGACCCAGTGCATCCCATGTTGCTGCAGGCTCTCAGTTAGGTCAGATTACAGTGGTGAATCAGTGTGGACACTCTTCAAAGCTCTCACTCAGTCTGCTGTAGACTTTGTGCAACCAGATACTTAAAGACACTGGAGTATGGTGTAAATTTGATCCGTGGTACTATTATTCCATGAAGCCAGAAGTATTGTTGCAGGAGGAACTGCAGTGGGATCTGAAAGCCACGGGCAGCTCCAAGATAAACATCAATATTTAAAAACCTGAACAGCAAAGAGAGTGGAAACCAAATCTGAAGAGAAAAAGATCATAAAAAGCTACAGTGCTGCATCTGTCAGTCATTAAAATGCAGTGCTTTCCTTTGTCTTCTGTAGTCTTCTCTGAACAGCCTCCAGGGCTGTGTGGGGTGCAGGCAGCAGGAGAAGCACCCAGACCCCAAAACCTGTGCTGTGGTTACTGCTGAATTTGCTCCCATGAGCTGGGATCCGTGGTTTTTGCCCGCTGGCTGCTTACCTCTCTAGTTCAGCACAGAATTTGCACAAGGGATTAAGTCCATCCCCAATCAGCAATGCTCAGGGCTTAGGCTGACTTCCATTTCATTAGGATTTAAGCTTGTCCATAAATTTTAACTCGCTAATTGCTCAGTCAGGCTCTAATTCACCTCCTGTTTGAGCCAAAGAGGACTCCTCCTTTTGCAGTGGGTGAAATGGGATCAGGGCCGTGAAGCAGATACACATTTGAGGAGTGGTGCTGTGATGTGCTTGCAGAAGGCACGCGAGGTATGCAAGCCATGGACTCTGCAGAAGGAACCAACCATCTCAGCCTTGCTCCCAAGAAGCTGAGAGCTGCGTTTCAGAGCCAGCCATGGAAGCAGCCACCAGTTGGCAGCAGGAGGTGGGGAATGTGTTCAGGCCCTCTAGGAGCTCTGCCTGCTCCTGTGGGCTCCCTGCCGGGCTCTGGCTCTGCTCTGGGCTGGAACGCCTGGTGAGCAGAGGGTGTTCAGCCTCAGCATCAACCTGTTCAGTGGGAAACAGGCTTGGATGGAGAACTGGTGGCCACCCCCTGAAAATGTTGTGTTGTGGGGAGCTGTGTCTTGGGGTGAGTCTATCTGGCAGAGCAGCAGTAACATTGGCTCCAGGGCTGCCCTGGATATCTCTGGATACAGCTTTGGTTGCCCATCCAGGTCCAAACGAATGACCAGGGAGGCCCTAGATGCTAGATGTAAGCATTCTCATCCAAAGCCATCTCAAAGAGCTGCAGGAGTGAGGGAAAGCAAGAGACATTGTGAAGAGATGCTGAGGGAAGAGAGGATTCCGTGTGACCCTGCGGCACTGATGGAAACGGAGGCAGGGAGTGAGATGTGGCCACTTGCCCACTGAGGAGCACGAGCAAATAACTTCCCCACAAGGAAGGATCACCAGCCTGTGATCAGGACTCTATTGTGGGAGCTGCTGCTTTGAGTTCCTGATAGCTGTCAGGAGCAATAGGTGAACCTCACGGCCCAGCACTTCCCTTCTTTATCAGCATCACCCTGCAGAGCAGCTCTGCCAGCCAGGACCAGGGGACTTCTCCTCTCACGTCTCAGGGGTTTTTCTGTCACACCTTGATGCTCCTGTTCCTTTCAATTTATCCTTCTGCCCCATTATGTCTGCTCCATTTGAGCTCCTGATCTCATGTTTCACCTCTGAGAATCCAAGGCTGGCAATCACCCCCGGGGGCAGAGGTGGTGGCATCCAGGCTCTCCTCTCTAATCTTTATTTTCTGAGATTATCTCCAAAATCCTGCTACTCAGGGCACATCCATCCAGGTAAACTGGTGTCCCTGCTCTGCTGAAATCCTGGCTGGGTGCAGGTATTGAGGTGAAATCTTCTTTATCTCAAAGGTGAGCCACAGAGTGAGGTGAGTTTGCTTTGTTGATGTGTTAATCACATTCCTCATGGTTTTGTCCTCTCTATCTACTTGTGCCTAAATTGCACCTGCTTGATCAGAGCAGTTGCTGTTAGGTGTGTAGACCCTGAGTTAAATACCATAATAAATTATAATAAATAAAAAATCAATACTAAATTGTATCCTATTGGGGGATTTATTGATCAGAAGATGGAGAATTGCCCTCCAGAGCCCGCAGTAGCTATTGTGGTTTTTTGGCTCAGGTTTCAGCTGTTTTCTTTTCCCTTCATGAACCAACAGAGAAGAATATTTTTTCCAGAGCTGACTCCATATAGAAACACATGGATGTGGTTGTGTGGCTCCCTTTAGATCCCAGAGTATCTTTGTTGGCTGAATACTATCCATTATCTGAGGCATCTCAGCCTAACACCGCTCTGGTTAATGAAGAGTTTAATTGGTAGTATAAAGGTTGCACTTTTACAATCCAGTTTCCAATGCGGTTGGGAACATCTTGGGAGCATCATCCAATGAAGCTTGGACCCCTGCCCGTTGATTCCTCTGTTGATGTGAGATGCCTGTGGAAAGAGGGTTCCATCTTTACCATCTCTCTTCCCCACCCCCCTGTCTTCACGGTCATAAATCACTGCAGTTAATTCGTGGTGTCTGGCTTCTCCCTGTGAACTGGAAAACAACCCTGTGGGAATCCTGGGACGATGCTCTGGAGCTGGTAGCTCAGGAGGGTCGTGAGATGGTCGGGGTGTCCTGGAAGGCCATCCCAGCACTTCTTCCCACTAATCCCATTAGCTGGCCCAGGCGCTGTGACCAGGCGCTGGGGAGCCCGGCTGCAGCCCGGCCCTTGTTCTAAACCCTGCACACAATGAATGGGGACTTCAAAGAGGCTCAGTGTGATTTGCATTTCCAAGCTCTCACAGCCAAGGTCTTCGGGAGGGGATGAAAGTGTCTTTTGTTAAACTTAATGGCAGAGTTGATTAAAAAAGCTCTGATTTTTCCCTATTAAGGCATAGTCTGATTCCACCATTGGGCTTTTGGCATCTGGAGGAGTATGAATTCTGTAAAATAAAAAAAAAAAAAAGCACACAAACAAAGCAATCTGTGGCCTGCCTAGCTGTGATTGTACTTAGGGGTATTCCAATATAATTTTTCCTAATTTGAGAACCATCTAGTAGATGTCTTGGGTGGGCACCAGCATGAATAGCAACGAAATAATCAGCAAATTTTCATTAGGCATCTCCCTTTGCCCCCTGGAGCCTCAGCAGAGCCAAAGCAAAAATGGGACCCAAATATCTCCCACTGGCTTCTCAAAGGAAAGTCAAAAGGGCTGATTCATGGTGTTGGGTGCATGTTTCAGCTATCACGTATGCAAACCCCTCCTCAAAACATCCATAAAACTATCTGCTGTGTGCCAGCACTTAGCTGTTGATTATCTGTTCAAAATAAGCAGTGACTGGTCTGGCCTTCAGAGGTTTGGTAATTTCCTTTCTTTGCTTTGTTTGAAGAATATTGGCAAATAATTTCACATCTGGATTTATGTATTAAATGTCTCCTATATTGCATAAAACAAAGCAAGTAATGAAAGAAATCTGTCTATTTAACTCCCATCTTAGCTTTGGTTCTGTTTTAGCAATGACTGTTACCACACTGATGGAGGATTGAAGAAACATTTCCTATTTCAAGGCTATCAGTGCTGGGAGGGGTTTGATTTTCTAGATACACTTTAAATTCTGTCTCTGCTAGCATGACTCTTCCTGTTATGTTTATCAACATTCAGCACAAGCTTGGTTCAAAAATAGAAAACAGCATGTTAGCTGCTTTAAATAAACATAAATCTTCTTTTCTGTCAGGCAGTTTGTGTTTTCTTTTCTAATCAAGGCCAAGTATATTGCTGAATGGAGCCTTGCCCTCATGCAAAAACACTCATTCCATGCAGGATTCATACATGTTCTGGCTAACCTGAAATGCATCTCACTTCTTACCAGGTAGCTGAAGGGTTTTATAACAATATTCAAAATCTCGTTGAATATAAGGATACAGGCTCATTTGTGAGATACTAAAAACTACCTGCAGCAGTGTGGGAATTCTTTGGGGTTAAGATCCCCCGGGGCACTACCTAAAGACCATATAATCCCTTATCACAGCTCTTGAGGGAGGGGAAGGGGCCAGTGGGGGCTCCTGCACCGGGAGAGCATCACCCAGAACGAATCGCAGAGCCCCAGGCAGCCCCTGGCCTCAATGCCAGCGGCAGCTCCCCGGGGGGACGTTTTGTTGGGAGGTCTCCTGGGAAGTGTTTCACTCTTTTGTGTTTCTGATGGATTTCAGAGACGAGTATGAAGAGGACGGGTTTTGCCAGCCCTACAGGGGGATCGCCTGCGCCCGGTTCATTGGCAATCGGACCATTTATATGGAGTCTCTGCATATGCAAGGTGAAATAGAAAATCAGATTACAGGTGGGTAAAACTTCTCCCCCACAAAGCCATCTTCTCAAAAGCTGCTGGAGTTCTAGAAACTGCAATAAGATTTTTCTTTGCTCTTTACCCTCTCTTGCTGTGAGCTTCCCAGCTCAAAGCTCCTTCGTCGTGCCTGTCGGCAGAGGGAGTCATCTGAAGAGTGACAATTTGAGCAGCCTTCATGTCTCTGCACAGCCAGCTCCCCCAAAAGAAACTCAGGAAAGGTTTTCCAATGAGAAAGCTGTGTATTTACAGCTGCTGGGAGTCTCCTAGCCAGGCTCTCTTATGCTGCTCTTACCCAAGCAGATTTCAGAAAAGAAGGGAGACCAGACTTAGCTGATTTTCACATGGGTGAGATCACGTAGGTGCTGGAAGAGGCTGCATAAATCATCCAGCAGGTAGTGGTTTTCCTTTAGATGTAGAAAAGAACCAATTTTCATCGTTTCTGTAGGAGATGCTGTGCTGCTGAATTCAAACTGAGGCCTTGTGGATACCATGATACCTCTCTATTTTTTTGTGTGAATTAACCTTGGCCAGATGGTAGCCACAGTATTCACCTTCTCTATATTCAGATTTTCTCTTGCTGTCAGAATATCCCAAATTCTTTACCCTGTATAGCATTCTTCCTTTGTCTCCAGATGCTGTCAGCATCATGGAAGAGACTTTTCCATTGCTTACAAGAAAGGCCAATGGTTTCTGCACAGCCAACAGTTCATAATCTTACACCATTTTGTTTGAAGAGACATTTGGGACAGTATGAAATCTGTCATCTTCCATTAATATGCTGGTGCTGTCATCCTGCAGCCTGAGGGAACTTTGGGGCTTACCTGTGTGGCAAAAGGTGTCCAAATGTTATATGACTTTGCAAACCATTGTAAATTATTTGGGGGAAAAAAAAAGACGTATAATTAGGTTTTAGGTTTTGGTAACGTGCTTAACATTAATCCTGTGTTGAAAACGAGATGGATTTTCTCTGTCAGCAAAATCAGCATCGTTAATAACTTTTAATGTAATTAGTGCTCCTATATTTGTGGAAGGCCCGTTCATCACCTGAACATCTGAAATCAATAGTCACAATGGGAAGTGGGGGGTTATCCTGGGGAGGCGAGAGCGCAGCAATAAAATTCCCACCGGGTGAAGTCAAATCCTTGTGTATATTTTCCAGCTGCCTTCACCATGATTGGCACTTCCAGCCATTTGTCAGACAAGTGCTCCCAGTTTGCCATCCCTTCACTGTGCCACTACGCCTTCCCCTACTGCGACGAGACCTCCTCGGCTCCCAAGCCACGAGACCTGTGCCGTGATGAGTGTGAAATTCTGGAGAACGTCCTGTGTCAGACCGAGTATATCTTTGCGAGGTCTAATCCCATGATTCTGATGAGATTAAAGCTGCCCAACTGTGAAGATCTTCCCCAGCCAGATAGCCCTGAAGCTGTCAATTGTATCCGGATCGGGATTCCGATGGCAGATCCCATCAATAAAAGTAAGCGAAAAGCATCTGTGCCTCCGTGGAAAAAAATGCTGCTGTGAAAAATTGGGCTGTAAGGGTTTGGGCATCAGAGCTGGAGCTGGTGCTGGGCTTTGAAAGCTCAAAGTCACCCTGCTTTCGGATTAGCCCACTCCCACATCTCTCTAGTCTGGAGTGGGTGGAAATTCAGGAACGAATCTCTGGTTTTTCCTTTAGCTGCCCATGGGCTCACACTAAATGCTGTTTATTGGTTTCAGGTCTTTTCTATTTAATATGAAACATTTGAATACTGAGGACCATGGGTAGCTTCAACCTCCCAGTCTTCCCACAGCAGCCCTGTCTGCTCTAGCAAGACCGTGGGTGCAGTGTAGGGGTGCTGCTCAAGAGGAACATTCGTAGGGGTCGGGGCATCCATGGCTGTCCCTGCCTAATACAGCCTAATTTTAGGCTTGCTCTTTGATCGGGGTGGGCTGCAGCCTGTTCACAACCCTCATACATCTGAACAGTCAAATACAAAACAGGGCTCCCACAGATTCTCCACCTTCATATGAGAATAACGGCTGCGATTCAGGCTCCCACTGTAGTTTTTACTTCTTTTGTCTATCTTATATTAAAAACGCTTGGCATGAGCTGTTTTCATTACAGAAGCATGAGCTTTAAATCCTCCCAGGAATGTGAATGCAAAGCAGGCCCCGCGTTACGGCCGCAGCAAATTGGGAGCCCAAGCTACCAAACTGGGATTCCCAGCCCTGGGCCAGCAACAGCGTGCTGGGGGATGCCAGCACCTCACCACCCTCCAATGCTGCAGCCACTTGAGCTTTGGATTATTGGTGTGACTTTTTTTTTCTTCCAGATCACAAATGCTACAACAGCACGGGAGTGGACTACCGGGGGACGGTGAGCGTGACCCGGTCGGGGCGGCAGTGCCAGCCCTGGAACTCGCAGTACCCCCACACTCACACCTTCACTGCCATCAGGTACCCCGAGCTCAACGGGGGCCACTCCTACTGCCGCAACCCCGGCAACCAGAAGGATGCCCCGTGGTGCTTCACCTTGGATGAGAACTTCAAGTCTGAGCTTTGTGACGTCCCGGCGTGTGGTAATGACTGAACTTTTGTTACTGTTGCATTTTGGAAGCAAAAGGGTCATGTCCCAACCATCCTGCAGAACAGGAGCTTGGGAGGGCGGTCCACAAAGTGTCTTTTTTGAATCCCTGATAAGAGAGCTGTAGGAGAGATTATCTGCAGTTTCATAGAGTCATTAAGTTTGGAAAAGACCTCCAAGATCATCATGTTTGTAGCTACAGCCACAGCATCCCTGCTCCAAGGAGACCTTCAAGTACTTGGTGCCTGTGCAATTGGCAAAGTGGTGGCCTTAAAATATTTGACTGCAAGAAAGCTGGGGAGGCAGTTTATACAAAGGCTTGTGGGGATAGGACATGGGGTAATGGCTTCCAACTGGAAGAGGGGAGATTTGGATTAGAAACAAGGAAGAAGTTCTGAGGGTGGTGAGACACTGGCCCAGGTTGCCCAGAGAAGCTGTGGATGATCCATCCCTGGAGGTGTTCAAGGCCAGGTTGGATGGGGCTTGGAGCAACCTGGTCTAGTGGGAGGTGCCCCTGCCCATGGGAGGGGGGTTGGAACTAGATGATTGTTAAGGTCCCTTTCCCAAACCATTCTATGGTTTTATGATTCTAGGAGCAGGGAACATCTGAACCCTCCCCAGAAGGGGAGGAAGCTGTAGTGTGTTCCCAGCCCAAGTGTCCCAGGCTCTCCAGGTTGCTGTTACGATCAGTGCAACGCCCTAGTTCAAACTGGATCGGATTCCAGAAGTTGCACTGTTGGTACTGATTCACCAAGTGATTGTATAACGTTCCCCATTCCTCTTGGTTAATTATGACCCCTTTTAATAAATGCAAACCTCGTTTCACAGTGCTCAGATCTTGTTTAAAAAACAGAGATGATCTTGCCAGATCCTTTTAGCTAGATTTTAAGTTTGTCTTTACACAACTCTCTGGCTGCATTTTGGTTTTGCAAAATGGACAAAATTGGAGATTCAGCTGTGATTGAATTGCACTTTTCTGAGACCTGGATGAAGTGGATGAAAGACCTGAACAAATGGTTCCTAACTGTTTCATGTGCCTTTAGAAATAACAACATTGATAGCATGCCAAGCACAAAATACAGCCATTGCATGGACATGCCCAAAGTGCACCCAGAAATGTTCTGGAAATTCACCACACAAAGTTTCACACAAAATTTTCTGTTGCCTACAAGTTGTCACAGTAACATTACCTTTCCCCTTGGAAAGGAGATACCTTTTGCTGTTACTGTTTGATAGCCAGAACCAAATTAAATTATTTCTGGTTATGGTTATGAATATTCCTGCGGTGAGACATGTTCTGAGCCTACTCCAAAGTCTTTTTCAATTAAGGGAAAGATGGGAATCGATGCCAAAAAGGGGGTCTAAATTATGTTCTTACTGAAAGAGTAGATCAGGGGAGAGGCAGACAGTCTGGGCTGTATCATGTGCATCTCAAACCCTCTCTAACATTCAGAGACACTTTTTCGAGTCCTGTATCCCTTCTGCTATTATTTCAGTGCATTTAACTCCAGTTATTTTTCTTGTTAATTAGGTGCAGTGTTAAGACCGATGACACAAGAATAATTCAATCTGTATAAACTATTCCAAAGATCTTTTTTCAGCCCTCCAGTACAGAAGTTTGGATCTAAGCAGGAGTCAGCAGGACTGCCCTTAGCGTGCTGCCGGCTCCTGGCTCCGCACGGCTGCGGGCGCCGCTGCCTGGGCTGGTCCCATCAGGAGACGTAGCTCAGCCCCAGGGGCTTGGGGCTTTGGGCAAGCTCAGGGGCCTCTGCACATCCACAATTTTTCAGCCATATGCATTTTGTGTTTCCCACAACTTCTGGGTAACGGGGTAACTAAGAGTTAATCAGTGGGCTGCTTGGCAAGCTCCCTCCGGATGGGTGCCGAGATCCCAGGACTGGCTCAATCTTTTGATCTGAAATAGCTGAAAGCAGGATGCTTTTGGATCGTGTTGCAGAAAGCCTCTGATTTGAATGTTGTACTAGATAATAAATGAGATAGGCTGGCTGGCTTGAAGAATTCCTGACAAGGATTTTAATTACCTCTCAGCACTGCCTTAAATAGTACTTGCTGTACGGCTGGGTTATATGGCATTATTGTTCTAAGTAGAGACAAATAGAGCTATATCAGGTGAGCAGTAACTTAACTGTGAAATGCTAATCTGCATGTTAAACCCAAAATACCCTGTGGGACTTGCAGTCTGCTGGTTTTGCCCTGGCTGAAAGAACCATTTCAGGCAGATTTTAATACGTATTGTGCATTCCGCCTCACCAGGACATGCCTAGATGGGAAATGGATTTAATTAGGGTGGCTCCCAAGAAACCTATTAACCTAATGAGGCTTCACAGCAGGGGCAGCTACTTAATAAGAATAATAATTCCCTTTGACTGGAAAAGCTCAGGTGATGAACTAGTGCCCAGGTCTATGTCTGCCTCGTGCTGATGTTTTCTTTTTCTTTCTTCAACTGTGTCTTTCAGTTGTCTCACAAGCTGCAATGGGTTCATTTCATAAAAGTTTGTCAAGCTGAATATAGGAGGATGTGAAACAGGGAGTAATTCGAGCGTGAGGCTTAGCAAAGACAAACATAAGAAGGTTTTGAAGGAGGGGGAAGAGACACTGATTGTGTGTCCATGCTAGAGAGCAGCAGGACACGTGCAGTGGGTCCGTGCTGTAGAGCTGGATGTTCACTGAAGGCAGGGTGAGGGCACACACCAGCCTTCTGCTGGCCACAGACTGTCATGGGGTCTCTATTTTAGTCCTCTCTCATTTCCCAAAGGCCATAGAAATGTTTGGACTACGTCTTCTCTCAATTAAAAACCAGACAGCACAACTTAACCTGAGAAAAAATGGTCAGAAGGAGCGTGGGGGAAGCGGAAGGACAGTGGGAGCCTGTAAGAGGAGAGGGGTTATGCAAAGCGACATCAGAACCATTTGAACTTTACCTCTGTCACAATTTGAGTCAAACCCAAGCTTCAGATCAAGTTCATGTTTAATTAAGTGCATAAAAGATATCTGTGTGGCCCACTAAGCACCTGTACAAGTCCAGCCTGGAAAACACGGACAAACAAGCTGAAATGACCCTCTAGGAATAATAAAAGATCCCCCATTGCCAGAATCCACTGAGCCTGATGCTGCCACTGGCATTCACCATCTCCTGTGGAAACAACCAGGCTGCAGCCCTGCAGCTCAGAGGGATCCCCAGAGTTCCCAAGGTGCCCTGTGGTTAGTGTGTTCATGCGTGATGATGCTCTAAGCTATGAATGCTCCTGGGAAATACCAGAGCAGAGCAGGCTGGAGAGTGCCAGGCAGGCAGGGACCTGGGGGCACTGATCAGCACTGTCTAAATAGGAACCAGCAGTGTGGCCAAGAAGGCTGCCAGCAACCTGGCTTGGATCAGCACTAGTGTGACCAGCAGGACTAGGGCAGGGATCATCGCCCTGGACTCGGCACTGGGGAGGCTGCACCCTGAGTCCGGGGGTCAGTTTTGGGCCCCTTCCTCCAAGAAGGACCTTGAGGGGCTGGAGCGTGGCCAGAGAAGGGCAACGAAGCTGCTGGGGAAGGGGATAGAGTCCCCAGTGTGGGGAGGAGCAGCTGAGGGAGCTGGGGGTGCTGAGCCTGGAGCAAAGGAGGCTCAGGGGAGACCTTCTGGCTCTGCACAGCTCCTGACAGGAGCCTGGAGCCAGGGGGGGGTCGGGCTCTGCTCCCAAGGGACAGGACAAGAGGAAAGGGCCTCAAGTTGTCCCAGGGGAGGTTGAGGTTGTCCCTGAGGAACAATTTCTTGCCCTGGAGGGTTGCCCAGGGCTGTGCCAGGCTGCCCAGGGCAGTGGTTGAATCAGCACCACAGAATGTGTTTAAAAGCTGTGTAGGTGTGGTGCTGAGGGACATGGGTTAGCAGAGGACTTGGTAGAGTTAGTTTAATGATTGGACTTGATGACCTTGAAGGGCATTTGCAATCTAAAGAGTTCTGTGATTCTGTGATTATGCTACAGCTTTTGTCTGTGGTCAGACTTTTTGAACCCCTCTTCTGACTTCCTGGGATAAACCCAAAGTCTGTTCTCTCTGTTATTTGCCATTCCCATGCATTTCCTCCCATTTCCCAGGTGTTCTCCATTTGTTCTGCTCTAGAGTCCCTCATCAACCTGTTCCTGCACCTAAAACTTATACTAGAAAGTAACTTTTCAGTTCCAGATGTTATTTTTTCCAGTGCCTTGGGTTACCACACAGATAGTTCAATGCCAGGAGATAGCAGGAGCAGGAGGCTGGAAATAAACAGGGGAACAAAACTGTTATTTCTGACTACTTCCCACATTTCTTTTGGGTGAAGGAACCTATGGCACCAAAGCCTAATATACATATTAAAATAAGGAGTCCATAATCCCACTAGAACCCCCTTTCCATAAGCTATTTTAGAACTAACTTTTCTGTGGACCTGTATTAGACCATTTGATCATTTCACCCAAGGCAATTTAGCCACCTCACAGTGTTCAGCTCTTCCATGACCATGAGTAGGTTTAAACTGTCATACCACAGGGGTGTTGTTCCTGCCTGTCCTGTGTTCTTACAGAATGTTACTCAACAAAATTAATTGTTCTGTTCATAGTAAGGAGCTCAAACAGTGTTCAGGGTGGATTGCAGCATGACCTGGATGTTTTATTCCTAGTAGCACTTCTGGTTGACCCAGGGATGTGTTTGACTCTGTGGGATACTTCATTCTTTGCTTTGGTTTGTTTATTTGTTTTATTTTTAACCAGATTATAAGGATTCCAAGGAAAAGAATAAGATGGAAATCCTGTACATCCTGGTGCCAAGTGTCACCATTCCCCTGGCCATAGCTTTGCTCTTCTTCTTCATCTGCATCTGTCGCAACAACCAGAAGTCATCCTCCCCTCCCGTTCAGCGACAGCCTAAACACGTCAGGGGGCAGAACGTGGAGATGTCCATGCTCAACGCCTATAAACCAAAGGTAACCCCTCAGTCCTGCTTCAGCAGTGCCTCTCTGGAGAGGCAGGGGCTGAAATGCTTTGGGTTTTCAGCACTGAAATATAAAGCTGGTTTCTAGTTTATGTTTAGCTCTGATTTTTGTAAGGGCTTTTCTCTGCTGGACCTGTGGAGGTAACTCCAGTGTGTCCAGAGAAATAGGAGCTGGAGGGTTTTTTGTAATGAAGCGAGGAACCCGTTAGTGAGGCATCACTAAACTGCCTCATTGGAGTTAGAAAGTGGTTGCACATAAAGATGTGATTCAGCATTTTTCTCCAGAGAGTTTCTTCGTGGCTCTGCTGTAGTCATATGTCATCTCTCACTCACTTGAAATCACTTTGGAAAGATTTGTTCTGTGTTTTTCCAGGCTTACCCATTCCCTCGGTTAAAAACAGAAATTACCAAAACAGAGCCTTCAAAATCTGCCTGCAGCTGGGGCCAGCACAGCTGATGCATAGCAGCTCTCCTTGCTGCTGTTGGTTTGCTTCAGTGCAGTCCCAGGTTCATGAAGCATTTTGTAAAATCATTTAAGATTTAAGCGTGATTAACCTTGAGCTCCTTGTTTATTGGCAGGGCAGCCGGTCTGCAAACTGTTTCAGGGCTGTAACTGCCTTCTGCCACCTACAGACAGAATAATGCCCTGCAAAAAGGGGTTGCCTTGTGTTTCACACCGTGCCAGTTCCTTTCAACAACGTGATAGGGATTGCTCTTTTGAAGTATTTTGAAGTGAAAACCAATAGCTACAATTAATCAGAAGAAACTGTGTAGGCTGCGGCAGCTGAAAGTCAGACGTGCCTTTGAGTGAGCTGTTATTTTTGTTAGAAAATAGCATGGCAAAACGAATCCAAATTCTGAGTTTATTGAGTTTCAGCAATGTGAATTCTAACCTTCAGATATTGCTGTCACTGGCATTCTTTCAGCAGAGCTAATCACTTGTCACACTCGTCCTTCAGGAGCTGTGTTCTCCATCTCTGAAGAAATTCCAGACTAGTTTTCTTCCTGGTTTGATGAAGCAGCTATGGAATGCTGCTACTGCTTGCTCTTAACTGTCAAGTTTAGAGAATTAGGTTATAATGAGTCTGTCTCCTATGAAGAAAGGCTGAGAGAGTTGGGGTGGTGCAGCCTGGAGAGGAGAAGGCTCTGGGGAGACTTCCTTGCAGCATTCAGGACTTAAAGGGGGCCTACAAGAAAGGTGGGGACAGAAGAAATTTTTTTACCCTGAGAGTGGTGAGCCCCTGTCCCAGGTTGCCCAGAGAGGTCCCAATTTCCACAGGAAAACAACAGCAATATTTGCAAATACAGAACACACTCTTCTTTTTATGTTCAAAGTCACACGCTGCAAAAAGCTTTCCCTCTTATTTGCCCTAATTCTGTATTTTCCCACTGGGAAACCCAGCTCTCCCTGCCTCAAATGATTTGATCTCCTTTCAAACAAAATTTTCAAAGAAAGGAAGTAGAATCCTCTTTTTAAATACTGTATCCAGTGTTAATGCCAACCTGGGGTAAAAACACACTTAAGCTTCAGGCTCCCAAATGAGGTAGATACATGTTTGCTCCTAGGAAGGAAAAAGTTAGCATTTCATCCAAAAGCCTGTTTCAGTTTTAAGGGATTTTAATTGCCTTCCAAAAATATAATAAACTAAGCTCATCTTGTCATTCACCTAATGGAAGGAGCTGATGAAGAGATAGAGGTGGTGGGCTTCGCTCCTACGGCTCTGCCTTTGTACTGGGTTTACTTTGGCATGCTGCCTCCTATGTATTTTACACTTCTCTACATTTTGTACACCCATGTATGACAAATACTTGTCAAACAAAAACTAAGCAGATTTATAACTGCTTAACTTGCAATGAGCCCTTCCTGCCAAAACTTTATGACTTCATTTTCTTTCATAGTTTTCCACTATGTTGGTTCAAACAGACGAACCCAGCCTCGGGTCAGACAGAGGTCATTTCACTTTCATTACTAAAATATAATTTACAATATGCCAGACCTAAACAAGTTTTAGCCTAAAGGATTTGTATAATATAAACCATCTGTTCCTCAACAATATAGCTAATTTCCTGCCATCACCGTACGGTCTACTGGCTGCCTGCTTAAATGGCTTTATTACTATTATTATTATTATTATTATTGCAGTATTTGTCTAAAAGTCATAAGTGGTCAATACAATTAGAATTCTTTATTCTAAAATGCCTTTTTTAGATTAATTTTTTTAGATGTCAGTTCTTTTCCTATGTTGCTACTGTAAAGCTGCCGTTATGTTATTTCAGGAATGCAGATGCTCATGTTCACACTAATTTACAAGTCATAGATCCTAAGCTCATTAGCCTTAAATTACTACCTACGGCTATATTGAGGACTCTAAAGGAGTAAGTTTGAGTGTAGGTGTTACAGGCACATGTGGAAGTTAATGTCTGAAAAAAATACAACTTCTTTGTGGCCTAAGAGTGAATATATGCACCCAGAATAACAAATAACTTTAAAAAATTTGTCTTTCTTCTTTGACCTCTGTCTCATTTTTCCAGTTGACTGTCCTGAGTGTTTCAGGACCAGACATTGGGTCAAGTGTGAGCAGAAATTTGTACATTGAAGGGTTAATAGGCAAGGCAAAGAAGAATTGGCTACCAGGACATGGTTTAAAAAAGAAAAATAAAAGCCCCTTTTCTGCTAAAACTTTAGGCCCTGGCCCAGAAAGCACTTCAGCATGTGCTTACTTAAAGTATGTGAATTGCCTCAATTCCTGAAATTAGTCAGATTCAATATATATATATTGAAAATATATATATATATATAAATGTCCAAGCCTAAGTGTATAAATGCCTTTGCTGAAATGCTGATGGTTCCTGCATATATTTAGATCTAATACTTACTACTTTTATCTGATCTTTTGTGGAGGGTAACAAGTAATTCTAAAGTTAGTTTTGGAGCAGGGTGCACAGGGATTAGGCAGCACTCAGCCCAGGGCTTTGCTCAGGTTGGGCTCCTGGTGTCCCTCGGGCTGATGCCGTTGCTCCAGTGCCTGTATCTCCCAGGGCTGGGCAGGGTGGTTGCCAAAGGGGTCCATGACCCAGGGAGTTCGAGCTCAGTCTGTTTGGCTTTCAGATGTCCTGGGTGCAAAGATCTTTTCCCCTAAAAAGACATTTTCACTCCTGTTCTTCCGACGTGTTTTTGCTGTCGCTTCTTTCCCAGAGCAAGGCGAAGGAGCTGCCGCTCTCCGCGGTTCGGTTCATGGAAGAGCTGGGCGAATGCGCTTTCGGCAAGATCTACAAGGGACACCTCTACCTTCCAGGGATGGACCACGCTCAGCTCGTCGCCATCAAGACCCTAAAAGACTTTAACAACCCCCAGCAGTGGGCAGAGTTCCAACAAGAAGCCTCTCTGATGGCCGAGCTCCACCACCCCAACATCGTTTGCCTCTTGGGCGTGGTGACCCAGGAGCAGCCCGTCTGCATGCTCTTTGAGTACATGAACCAGGGGGACCTCCACGAGTTCCTCATCATGCGGTCGCCCCATTCGGACGTGGGCTGCAGCAGCGACGAGGACGGGACTGTAAAATCCAGCCTGGACCACGGGGATTTCCTGCACATCGCTGTCCAGATTGCTGCAGGGATGGAGTACTTGGCCAGTCATTTTTTCGTCCACAAAGATCTCGCCGCTCGTAACATTTTAATCGGAGAACAACTTCACGTGAAGATTTCAGACCTTGGACTCTCGAGAGAAATCTACTCGGCCGATTATTACAGAGTTCAGAACAAGTCCCTCTTGCCCATCCGCTGGATGCCGCCGGAGGCCATCGTGTACGGGAAGTTCTCTTCCGACTCGGACATTTGGTCGTTTGGAGTCGTTTTGTGGGAGATATTCAGCTTCGGACTCCAGCCGTATTACGGATTTAGTAACCAAGAAGTCATAGAGATGATCAGGAAAAGGCAACTGCTGCCGTGCTCGGAAGACTGTCCCCCCAGAATGTACAGCCTGATGACGGAGTGCTGGCACGACCTGCCGTCCCGCAGGCCGCGATTTAAGGAGATCCACGCCAGGCTGCGCTCGTGGGAGGGTCTCTCCAGTCACACGAGTTCCACAACCCCCTCTGGTGGGAACGCCACCACCCAAACGACCTCCCTCAGCGCCAGTCCAGTCAGTAACCTCAGTAACCCCAGGTACCCCAACTACATGTTTCCGGCCCAGGGCATACCGCAGGGCCAAATCGCCGGGTTCGTGGGGCCGCCCATACCTCAAAACCAGCGCTACATCCCCATCAACGGGTACCCCATCCCAGCAGGGTATGCTGCTTTCCCAGCCGCCCACTATCAGCCCCCGGGGCCCCCCAGGGTCATCCAGCACTGTCCTCCTCCAAAGAGTCGTTCTCCCAGCAGCGCCAGCGGATCCACCAGCACGGGGCACGTCACGAGTTTGCCATCATCGGGATCCAACCAGGAAGCAAATATCCCTTTGCTGTCTCACATGGCGATTCCCAGTCATCCAGCGGGGATCGGTATTACAGTGTTTGGAAACAAAACTCAAAAACCCTACAAAATTGACTCGAAGCAGTCTTCCCTACTAGGAGACTCCAGCCTCCACGGACCTAACGAATCTATGATCTCAGCTGAATTGTGAATAAGCGAGGCCTTTGTACATAGAACTATTTACAGGACAAACTAGAAAAGTCGTAGAGAAGATTTATATTCAAATATTTTATTAAAGATTCTTCTGGTGGTTTAACAGACATTGCAGCAAGTATCTTCTGTGAAGTTTAACTGCTTACCAGGACGGGCAGGCTCAACTAGATGCAGATCCTTGTGGTATGAACACTCAGCTCTGGCAGTGGACCTGTTGTTTCTTTTAAGTGCCAACGACAAAAAGGGCAAGTGGGATTTTTTATTTAAAAAAAAAAAAGAAAAAGAAAAACACCAAAATGTTTTTATCCTATGCTTTTTTTCACAGCTTTTTAAACCTCTGCTGTGGTTTAAATCACAGAAACTTTTTTATACTGAAGACATATTTTAATATTTGTCTCTTTTTTTAGGAGATGCAAATATTCGGAGATCTTCTGGGTGTGCAATTTCAGTTCCAATAGCTAGTTAAAATATTTGTAAATCTTGCAGGCAAGGATTATGTTTCAAACACGTGATCTGAGAGCTGAAGAAATGGCTTCAGGTAGGATTTTGGTCTTTTGTCAAGTTGGGAGTCTGAGTTCAAGCTCAGACTAAAAAAAGTCATTTCTATGACAGCGCAATAGCTGGAGTTACCAACTTGCAGTCTACAAAATTCACCTCCTGTTGGCTGCTAAAGATGACTGGAGTTCCAAGAAATTGCCTTAAAGGAAATGAAATTAAAGTGTTTTAATTTCAGGACCTGAATCAACTTTTATTCAAAGATAACATTTCATAATCTTGTAGTTAAAGCAGAAATTTTATATCCTTTTGTTGCTATGCAACTGTTTAATGGAAAGGCTCCAAACCACAATTTTATATATGACAATCAGTTTTCCCAGGAATATTTATTATTTCAGATCAATGTCTAATTTCAGTGACTTATGACTCCAGGAACCTCTCATTCCATTAGGCAGCAAATCCATCGATAGCAATTCTGTCTGTCAATTCTAATAATGTGAATTAGTGTCAACTTTCAACTTAGAAACCTGACATTTGTGTAATTACTAAAAATTCATTCAGGTATAAGCAACCTAGATTATTCATTTGAAACCACTTTAATGAGTCACAAAAGTTCTGTGTACACTACAGTTTTTCACAGACTTTTTTTGTACTGAATAGTGTTTTAATTGTACACGGAACGAGAACAATCTTTTGCTCAGTTGACAATGTTGTATGATATGACTTTATTTTTATCTTTTTTGCACAAAAGTGTGATGATGTTTTGTACAGCAGAAGTGAAAATACATCTCTGCATTTTATATCTTGGTCTGTTTCTTTTTATTTTTAACCTGATGTAGATGTTCTTGAAATATATTATGGTGATATTCAGCCACTACCTTATACAAATACTTTTCTTTGTTTTCACTGCATGCGTTTAATCACTGTATTACTTGATGATTGATTTATTAATTACGGGCATTTCAATTAGGCAAGCATGAAAATGTAATAACAAAGGCTATTTTATAATTAAGATATGTGCATTTTTGTATTTCACGTGCCAGAGATGATATTAAACACTGATTATTTTATGCTGCTGTTTATTAAAACATTGTTTTAACATAAACACCCCGGTATTTGCTCCATCTTGGTGTAAGATATTTGGAAAGTTTCACATTTAACAGAGAGCCACAACATGCTCGCTCAGCTCAGGTCGGGAGGCTGCTGAGATGCTCACTCAAACAGGACCATGAGTTTTGCAACTACTATTTGCAGATGGATTGCTCAGGGGTCACGTGCAGAGCCTGAAATGAATATCTGACTGTGCAAATGTTTGCAGAGCGCAGGGGAGAAGCAGGGTGGTGTAACTGCTCTGTGTGCAGCCTTTGCTGTCACCTCATGGGGGTCGTTCAGCTCTGTACCAAGGGTTGGCGTTGCCCTCACAGCTCCTGGCTGATGTTCCATGTCCCATTGCATCCTGTGACCTGTTGTGGGACGTTGTGTCAAGCACCCAGAGCTGCCAAGTGTCCTCTCCGTTGTGCAGGTGTGAAACTGTGTCAGATCAGGAGCAGTCACTGATTGTACAAGCAGGATTTCTGTGAGTTCTGAGGTACTTTATGACCCTGAGATGTCAGCTTCCAACTGGATTGAATTTGCATCTGGATCAGTAATGAAACTGTATTAGTGGTGGACTTGGCAGTCTTAGGTTTATGGTTGGACTCAATGATCTTAAAGGTCTTTTCCAACCTAAATGATTCCATGATTCTACGTTATCTGTTGAGCTAAAATGTAGTTTTGAGTGAAACTTCAGACAGTAATTACATCTTACTAACTTCTGGATGTGTGTCAGGTTATCACAATCAAATGTTAAAAAATCACTTCTGAACAGAGGTAGCACCACATTTTCAGATATTTTTCTCTTGAGTTGTAGCTGCTTCCACCACCAGAGCCTAGGGAGCTGCTGTCTCACACAGACTCAGCCTTGAAGCACTCACCTGGCACCATGTTCAGCCAACAGTAACTGTGGTGTTGTTCTTGTTCCATCTTTGCTCTCATGTACTCCTGCAGAGGGGCATCAGTGCAAACAATTCTTCTGCATCTTAAGCATCAAACGGAGCACTAAGAAGGAGGAAGCCTTTTTTCCCCCCCATTTTTCCAGTGGTATTTCTTAGCTTGTACCATTAAAGGCTTGAAATTTCAGCAGCGCCAGTTTAAAGACAGTTTGCCACTTGGGAAGTAACTGGTTTCAGAAAGAGAAGAATCTATGCACAGCCAAACAAGTCTGTGGTCCTTAGGTTATGCTGCTGTTGTGAAACCTTCAGTAAAGAACAAATGAAGTCAATGGAGAAATAAGAATCTTTGTGCCATGGTTGACATGCAGACATTTGTGCAAGAAGATGTTGAGATGCCATCATCAGTGATAGCAAAGTATTTGCTCATCACTGTTGAACCACAGCCTTCACTGAGTGAACATGTGAAGAAGATGGATCTTCAGGAGGCTCTGTCTTCATCTACACACACTGGAGAAGACACCGTGGACCCATCTCACGAGACATCTGGATAGCTGGCCCCACACTGGTGGGGCTGCCATGGGGCTGTGCAGCAATGGGACACATCAAATAGTCCCTCACACCCCTCGTGGGTTTCTTTTAGAGAAACAGGAGGCAGGGTGCAAACCCATCACAGCTCTGTTGAGGGCTTTTCTTTTATCTTAAAGTAAGCCAAGTCTTTAAGGCTGAAATATTTTCAGGCTCCCAGATGTGAACCAGCTCTGAGCAATACACCTGAAGGACGTTTTCCTGCCCCTCTCCCCCTCTCTCAGCGGGTGAAGTTTGTGACCTGTGAGGCTGAAATCACTGTCGGGCTCCCAACCCCTGCACAGGGAGCAAACACCAACACGCAGAGGCAGGAATTCATCAGGGAGAGATCAGAGAGGGGCAAAAAACCTTCTAAAAAACAATTAGATAACGTGGAAAAGAAACGTTGCCAGAAATGAAGGAATTCCTCCTCAGGTGGGAATGCAGCCATGCAGATGAAAGCTGGTTTTGTGGCAGTGGAAGGAAGAAGGAATTCTCCAGATTCCTGATGCTCCATGCGAGAATCATCATCCCTTCTTCTTTCAGAGGGAGAGGACAGCCAACACTGCTGGAAATGCAGTAATGGATTGAGAAGCTCTAGAGGTTTGGAAAGAAAACCCTGAATCAACACTGTTTAGTAAGCCTTCGATCTGGAGAATCTCATTCTCTCCAGCTTAGCTTATGTTTCTGTAGAAGAGAATAAATATTTGCTGATTTAAAGACTGAAATGCAGAGTCTGGAAGGGAGGTTTGTGTCCTTTGTTCCCACAGAGGGGTGATTATAGCAGGTTTCTGCCTGCTCTGGATTGAAAGCAGAAGGTGAAGCAGAGAACTGCTTGTGGAGACATTTGGGCTGGAAAAATCAGAAATACCAGCACATGTTTATCCAGAGCATGAGAAATTGTCAAAAAGGAATCCAGTCTTTGCTTTGCTTGAGGAAGGATATCTAAGAAGGTTGCAGGCTTGGAAATACTCAATGACATTTGCTTCTTGTTCCAGTATTGTTCTGTAACCTTCATTCACCAGGAGAACTTTAAAGTCTCCACCTAACTCAAACCACTCCTGTCCATCAGGCAAGCAATACAAAAACTACCTCAAGTACAACCATATGCTCTTCCCTATGGATCCAATTCCGTGGAATGTGCACCTTCAACATCCATTGGCTCTAGTTACCACATTCATCAGAAGGTCTTTGGCTCCTTGGCAGGCTTCACTCAGTTCAGTATATTTGAGCGTTGCCTTTGCCTCCTCACCAAGTGGAGACATCTGACCAGAGGATGCCTTTTTCCTTCTGCTCCACAGCAGTAGGCCTAGCTTGGTTAAGCCAGGCCAGGCACAGCTCAGGCTATAAAGAGGAACTACATAGCCAGGACTACAACTCAGGAGGCAATGGGCTCAGCCACCCTCTGCCCTTGCACACCGTGTCCCACTAGGTGTTGGGTACACCAGAGCACTTAGGCAGCCATGACTTTTTCCCCATGCAAGCACTGGATACCATAACTGGTTATAAATAGCATATATTAATTAGAAATTCATGAATGTGATAGGCAGTGAAATAGTGCTGCCTAGATATGACAATCTACACTTATCTCAGGAAGGCTGGTTTTATGGGAAAAAATTCTTCTCATTACTTATGGCTCGGCATAAAACACACTGAAATCAAGAGGAGCCTTTGTGGTGGCTGAATTGGGCTTTCTACCTTCTGGAGAGTCCTTAGAAGTTCTAATGGGATTCATGAAACCCCTGAGCCTTCAGTCAGTACCTGTGAGAACTTTGACCTTGCAGGAGAAGCTCACAAACGGTTCTAATGCATGCACAGAATGGTATAAAGGAGGCATCCAGCCCAGCTAAGAGAGAGATGTTAACACATTGGTTCAAAAGAAAGCCTGACTTTTGGTCCAAAGGACTACAATAAACTGAAAAAAGGTCAAGTTTTTATTTGCAGGAAAAAATGACAGCATCTTTCCTGTATGTTAGAGTATTTTAAGCAGCATCTCCTTAGAACAGGAATTTGTCATCGTGCTGTGGTCAGGGGATGGAGTGAGCAGCCATGCCACACTGACTTCCCCCGCCTCTGGTTCTCCTGGAGAACCTCAGTGGAAAAAACAAGGACATTGGATTCTTCCCTGGGTTAAGCTAATGGGGAGCAAACATCTTCGGGAGAGGAGACACCTCCTTTGCACCCGAAAAATCTGCAGACTGATTCCTAAATTCCTCTCCCCAGATAGCTCAATGTCTTCGTGCACCTTTGTCCCAGATATTTCTTCAGCTTGAGGCAGAGCCAGCACATTTGTTCCAGTGAGAAGACAGTAGCCAAATGCTTCTCAGCTGCTAGACTTGCAGAGCGTGGCTAAACTGAGGAGGTCTGAGGGTGCTGGGACCAGTCTTAAAGCGTGTAGTCACCCAAACCACATCCTTGGGTTCCACGAGAGCATGTGTTCTTCTGGCTGCCTCCTCAGTGGTGACATGTTTTTGTGGCCCCAAGGCTGCTCTCTCCGTGGGCCCGTAAGCCTCCCTGAAAGATAGGATGTTCATGGAATCCAAGAAGCAATTTTTATCTTCCTGTGGGCTATCTTTTATAGGAGGAGAGAATATTGCCCCCAAGTCAGTCACTCTCTATCCCATCATATTTCTTCCTGTTTGATCTCTCAAAGATTAAAGTTCAGTATATTTCAGGACAGTTATATTGCCGAGGTAATATAAAATTATTAAAAACAGAGAGAGAGACAATATTGTGACTATACATCAAAAGCTCTTTAAAACAAAGGAGGGAAAATCATCTCGAAACTGGGATTATTAGAAGCATCTGTGGTGTCCTTTATTTTCCCTTGAGCAGTGCAACACGTTTTGGAATGGTGTCTGACTGGATCCAGCTCCCAGCCTGCTCGTGTTTTACTTTTCTGATTATTTATACCCTAAACCCAGTGGTTTATCTCCTGAAGAGGGAGCAGCAACAGCTCATTAATGAGCTCTGACCTTAAGACATGAAGAAACTTTGTCCAGTGCACCAACCTATAGACTGTGTGAAGAAGAAGAAGTTGGGTTCTTTTTTCCTCATCTGATGAATCTCAAACAGAGCAGAGATATCTGTTAGATTCATAAGAAGCACGTGAGCTTTTAAACCACAGCTGGTGCTTGGAGTCCAATGGGCATATGTTTGTTTGTCTGTCTGGGGGCATGTAGCTGGACACAAAGGTTTTCAGGAGGTTTTTCCATATTTTTTTTTTAAAAAATCCAGTAATGTTT